GCGCAGATCTTTAACGACACAAACACTTAAAACTTTTAAATAATAATAATAAAATGTTCTAAACCAGTTTGTTTTTGTAATCAGTGAGCCTAAAGCAGCCTCTTGATCAGCGCGCCAAAACTGATGATCAAACTGGAGTTAGTCCAGGAAGTTTTAACAGGCTCAGGCGGATTATCTCTAACTTGTACCTTTAACGTGATTGTGCCGTAAGGGAAAAAAAATACTCATCTTAATGCCAAACTCAGTAAACAGAAGTAAATCATCATATTTGACAATATTAAGTGATGTCATTGTCATTAAAACAGAACCAACATGTTTTTGGAAGTTTAACTACAGACCTTTTTAATTTATTGAATGAGATGTTTGTTTAACTCGTCACTGCTTTATGTGAACGTCGTCCATGTTTCTACCTGAATGTATGTTGCTGAGTGTAGACGTCTGCCTGAGCATCTGACCAAAGTTACACACAGTGCAGAAAACCAGAGTTAATAACCTACACACTTTAAAAAATTAAAAATAAAAAAAAACATGAGCCCTTTTATCCATACTCTGTGGTAGTTAATGTTTTAATCATTTGACAGAACATCACTTTAATCTAAACTGAACTGGTTTACTGCATTTTGATAAAACTAATAAATTTCAGCTTTTAAAGTAAAAACCAACAAAATAAAAGTTCAATTTTCAAAATGTCAAAGTCTCTATTTTATTTTTTGTTTGAGTTATTTAAAAAGATGCCTTTACGCTTTTTTATAAAGTGCTAAATGCAAAAATGTTAAGAGTCACCATCTTTGAAAATAAGGTTGAAAATAATCATATTTTGCCAACTTTTCATGTTATTTATTTCTAAACATTTATTTATTTCATACCTATTATAAAGTGTAAAATTAACCAGCATGTTTATTTGGTTTATTTTCCAGTTAAAGTTGTGTTTATTTAGTTAGCAGTAGCAGTGATAGTTTATTGTTTTAACACTCAGACTGTTCCTTTGTTGTAAAACAATGAGTTGTGTGTTTGATTCCTCGTCTATCCTGCAGCCTCACAACCGTGTTACACAACACGCTTCCACTTCCATTCAGGTCACTAACATCAGAGCTGGAGCGTATTTATGCACGACGTTCACAATCGTCATTTTCATCGATATATAAAAGTCTGGATTTCTTTACTTTGTGTTTCATGTGATGCAGCACGATGTGTGCGACTCACAAGCTCGTTTAAAAGTAACACACGCTCATAAAACGTGTGTACACAAACAGATTTCCCCAGTGGGCGGAGATGAAGGATGAGTACAGGATGCAATCGTGGCTCCCACACTGCTGAGCGTACGACTCAACACGCCTTAGTGTACACACACACACACACACACACACACACACACACACACACACACACACACACACACACACACGTTTTTGTTAAGGCGTACCCTTCAGGCAGGCTGTCATCCTGCAGGATAAAGCTTCATTTGGGGGTAGCTGTCCTCAAACATGAGGGTCACGTCTTTTCTTTGATTTTCAGAGAAAACTCTACACCTCAAACATTTTGCTGATTCAGCACTCAGAAATATTTGCCCTTTTTTATTTTTATAATTTTTCAGTACATTGTGTGTATACTGCATAAACATTCGGCTCATTCAGAACATGTGCGGCATGACTTCTGGTTTTTGTAACGTTTACATTTTTCTAAATATTTAACATCGTTCTTCTTTAAATTGATTCAGCATATTTGCTTAATTTTAGCTCGCTTTTTGCTACTAACATTTTTTTAATGCTTAGCTATTGGCGACCCTTTTGCTTCCTTTAAACTATTTTTGCTACTTTGTCTTTAGCTAGTGTTCCTTTAGCTTCTTTTTGTCTTTAGCTAGTGTTCCTTTAGCTTCTTTTTGTCTTTAGCTAGTGTTCCTTTAGCTTCTTTTTGTCTTTAGCTAGTGTTCCTTTAGATTCTTTGTCTTTAGCTAGTCTTACCTTAGCTTCTTTTTTGTCTTAAGCTAAAGACAAAAAGAAGCTAAAAGAACAGTTCTTTTAGCTTCTTTTTGTCTTTAGCTAGTGTTCTTTTAGCTTCTTTTTGTCTTTAGCTAGTGTTCTTTTAGCTTCTTTTTGTCTTTAGCTAGTGTTCTTTTAGCTTCAATAACTCAGTTTCAGCTTCACCAAAATAAATAAATAAATAAAGTATCAATGTTGGTACTGTGATTTAAAAAAGATTAAATTAAATCTTTTACGTTTTTTAAAGTCAGTTAAACGTTGCAGACGTATCCAGTTTGTGCATAAAGCTGCAGAAAGTGTCTGTTTTTATATCTGCTTTAGAAAATCAATTTGCAAAAGACTAAAAATCCCAACGAACAGAAACCACGCACCAATATAAACATGTATATTACATAAAGAAGTGTGTGTCTGCAGCACACAACAACTGTTCTCCTGTGTGAAAGTCAGGAGACTGGTTGAACGAGTTACTTGGCACTTTGTGTCTCCAGAAGTTTTGTGTTTCTCATAAACACGTTTCCCTCCTGCCAATCTGTCAGTCAGCACACTCTTAACTTCACCTTATCGGACATGTTTGTCTGACAGAGAGGACGACAGACGGACGACGGACGATTTTGACTCGTCCAAAAACAGTTCAGGCCTCTGCCAAAACAACGGTGTTAACATTTTCTGCTGCAAAACATACAATCCTTTAAATGTACAATTACAGGATTACAACATCCTGTTGCACTTTAAACTGTTGCACTAATAAACTTTCATGCTCATATTAAAAGATTCAAACAGAATACATTAATATTAGAGTAGATTTGGTGCAGATTTACAAGCTTATGCAAACGTGCAAAAACTGATTCCACTGATTGTTAGAATTTCATTAATTACAGCAAACAAAGATGGAAACAATCTGTGAAAAGTTTAATAATAATGAATGAATTTATTAGTTAGTTTAGCAAAGTAGCTTTAAATATTAGGAGTGTCTGTCCAACAAAACATTAATGAAATCTGTGAATGGTTGAATGAATGAATGAATGAATAAACATTCTTATGAAATCATCTACATTTGTTAAGTCAAAAGCATTACAGATAAAAACAAACAATAGATTTTCATCCTTTCTTTGTTTGTTTGATTAAAGAAGATCTATTAATAGAAATGTGTTGGACAACACACACACAGACACACACACAGACACACACTCTGAGTTGAAGTCTGCCAGCTGCTGTCATTCATTTACCTCCACTCAGGTTCTTAGAACAGGACAGAATGTTCAGAAGGTGTAACCTACAAAACAGGAAACTCCTCGTGTATTTCTGCGCCGCGGCGTCTCCACCCTGCTCCGCACTGAGCTTCCATGGAAACCACGACATCACTGTTCGTCGGCCCGTTGCTCACACACACTCACCTGGCGTTAAAAGGACCCTAACACACAAGTTTGACACACTTCCTACCGGCGTTTACAGAAAAACATTAGAATCCTGACTGGAAAATGAGCAGAATAAACGGAGTTCAAATAAACGTCAAATATAAAGCTCAGAGGTGATATACAACAGAAAATGTTTAAGGTGCACCTGCTCCTTTATTTCTGCTGTAATCTTACGGTTTAACACAGAAAGGCAGGAAATAAGGACAGTAAAATAAGCAGACTTCCTTTAAGCAAAGCCTCAAACAGAACTAATGCAGGATCTCCAGCTGCTGTTTTCATTGAGACTTAATCAAGCGCTTGATGTGGTTTGTTTCTGTTCCGCTCACAGACTCACACATCCGTCATCAGTCAACAAAACAAGCTTTTATTTTTTGACAAGTCTGATCTCATTCCACCAACTTCCTGCAAACTCTCCAACTTCCCACACTCGATGTGCTCAGCGTAAATAATTTCGTCTCAATGAGAGTGGACTCATCCAGGTGCTAATTTACAGGTTGTGTAGCAGCGTAACAGTTTTTACGTAAACTTAACACTTCTGGTTGTAAACTTGTGCAGTAAAATGAACGTTCTTGTGACATGCCTATCCTTCAAATACAAAAAGTCAAAGAAAACATCTTTATACTTAAGAAAATTGGCATAATACACAAGATTTTACCCATTTTGTCACATAACTGGCCTATGCAATGCATACTATTGTGATTCGTTTCCCATCCAAGTCATCTCCACTTTGCCATGCTTCTCCTCCTGCATACTTTGTCCTAGAGCTGCCATTGTAATTTATATCTGTGCAGCTCCTGTGCCAAATGATGGCTATGCCTTTTGGTGCCTGTAAAACTTAGTTTTTGAAATATTAATGTTTAATAATTTATAATGAGAGTCAATGGAGCCTTGTATTGGTCCAATACTGCCCCCTGCTGTATCTACTCAGTACTGAACCATAGTTTAATAATATTTAATCTCAATAGTTCAGTGTTTACAATCCTAATATGATTGTATTTTGATGTTTTACTATAATATTGTCCTAATATTGCTCTATTGCTGTAATATATTGCAGTTTAGTGTCAACAATTGCATTGGCAATGTGGCCTCTTTCTGCACACATACAAACCAACCCTTGGCAGTACCCTCTGCCACAGCTCTAATGGTCTCATGGTTAACTCTATGGGCTTTCATGTGGGAGATCAGGGTTCAAAACCCAGCTACAGCAACTTTAACAAAAAATCTCTACAAACTTTATATTGTTACACAATTATGCTCATTACAAACACCTGCTGACGAGACAAGCACAGGCTGGCAGAAAACACATTTGAATTTGGTCACATTTCATTCTTAAAGTCCACTGCTGCAGGCAAAGCCATGCTGCAATGACATGCTACATGGCAATGCACACTTCTTTTTACATCGTAAAAACCCATGTCTAGTTTCGATCTATTTTTGCTTCTGTTTAGCATCGTCTTGGATGCTAGACCGTCCAAATTCACAGCCACTTTTTCCCTTAGCAGTCTTTCAAGGACCCGGCCCACTTAAGACTAGGTAGGACCGGGTCTGAATTTGGACACAACCGTTGTGGACCAATAAAATGTCTGGAAAAGTCAAAGGCTCTTACCTGATGAGAGCCATGTTGGCTTCATGTTGCTCTTTGTGAAAAGAGCAGGACGCTGGAGGATTAGAAGAGGAGGAGTTGGAAAATGGAGGCGGGGCGGGGGGAAGAAGGACTGTGGACTGAGGGGTCTGGTTCGGCGGGTCATTTTTATTTTGAAGATGAGACTTGGTTCTGACGTGACGAACGATGCTGCGGCTGCTACGACAGCGAGGCACCTTGCCGACAGGTGCTGTACCCGATCTCTTAAAGCTTTGTTTACATCTGGAAACAAAATCACAAAAAAGTTACAGTATTTAAGGCTTTTCATTCAATAATGTGTAAAAAATACGTTAAATTACTGTACATCATCAATACATATAATCAGAGGTATATAACATACTTGAAAT